GTATAGGTTCCAAAATCCACTTTAAGGCGCGTGCTACCTTGCAGCTACTCGCAGCACGATGCCTAAGAGCAGATTTTAAGTATATTTCAGGAACATTCCGTTAAGCTTATATCTGATCTTCTCGTCATATGCTTTTGGTCACTAGATTTCCTACAGTAAACGAATAATGCAGTAAAGTAAAATACCCATTATCAAGTAATTTCACATTAAAAAATGAGGTGTCTCATTTAAAAAATAAAAGTTCACTTTGAAATAACACTCAAAAATAACATTGCAATCAATGTCGTGAATAAATTCCTAGAATGAAATTCTACAACTTTTGTCAAAATCTTTTTCTCGAAAAATGCGATCATGGGAAGTTATTTCTGGATGTCTTTATTTTTATAATGATAATATAAGAAACTATAAGGAACAATGTTTAAGGGTAAAACAATCCTAGGAATTTAAATAAATTTTTTTTCTGAAAAATCCCGAAACAGGTCAACTTTATTTTTTTATATTTATGGTAATAGTTCCCTTTTTAGTCTTAGCTAGCTAATTTTATTAATTCGTATGGAAATTCATGTTTAATCTAAAAAAAATAGGGGTATTAACCCTTTGGTACAAAAGTTGAATTTACGTTGATTTAAATAAAAAACTCAAAGTAGTTTTTAAGATACCTAAGAAACTGTTTGGGGGGGGTGAACTTTAGTGGCTAAGTTTAAAAATATCATGCGCATATTAGTAATTTAGAGAAGCAGTATACAATGTGAACTGTGAAATAAAACTATTAATAAAATTAGTATCGACCACATAAAAATCAACATTCGAATCAATACGCGCTTGTAAGGCAACTTTTTTCACGGTCGAGTCACCAGTGAACAGCCATTCGCGACAATTAATTAATGGTTCACAGAATGATCAGAGTTGGCAGAGTTGGCAATCGACATGCAAGAGAGAATCTTCTCTCTCTTTCATTTTCCCGTGAAAGGTTTAGCAATGCATTATACCAGGAGACGATAACTTTCGAAGCGAGGTCGCGAACGTCACGAAGCACAGCGGGCAATCGGGGCAAGAAAACTGATTGACACATGGTCTGTAAAGCACGCTGAGGGACTATACGTAAACACGGTCAACAGCCTTTTAACCGTAAAAGGCACACAAATGTGTGACGCTAGGAGCTGATTCGTAGCTGGTAGGCTAGCTATACGTGTTACCCTTCGACAAAACGCACTGCCTCCGAACGATTGCTCAGCAGTTTTTGTGCTCCGCCCGGGAACGCCCGCTTTTGCTATATACATGCCGTTACTTTTCACACATTTAACTATTGTAACTGGCAATAATGAAGTCAATTAGTCATGTAAACTACTCTTTAACTTTTACCCAATTGATGACGGTTTGATAGAATGTTTGATGCAAATTAAAAATTTTTATTTGGCAGATTTCAATAATAATAAACTTTCCGTGCTGGTAGAAACAGAAGCAAACTCCTTTTCTTATTTTATTTTGTTTACATAGAAATAATAAGCTCTATTTATACTTGAAAAGCGATAGACGTCGACTTAATACAAAAATTTGAAAAGATCAGCTCAGTAGATGCTGCAGTTAAAAAAATCTAGTATTTAAGGAGCAGAGGCAACCCTGATCTGCAAACAGCGACTAATGAATTTCATGTAGTGTACACACAGATAAAAATATATATTAAACATATACATATATATACAGTGCAGGTATCGCAAACAAAATATAAATCAATCGAGAAATAATGGTTCTCGCGCGCAATCGCAGGCCGTCTGACTTTTCTGACTCGTTCTTCAATTTTCCATCCTAGGCTCTATAGCATTGACTCGCCCTTTGTCACCTCGACTCGACTCGCTACTGCATACTCGCCCTTTTCCTATATGACTTTTCGATCGCCACATATGTTGCGTTTTTGCTCTCTCGCGCGAGCCCGACCATAGCCACTCCTTTTCTTTTGTAGCCTTTTTTCTCTCGTCAAATCAATGAATTTCAAGGTAGGGTGTATGCGAAAGTTTATGCAGGGAATTAGGCTATTTGTAATTTTCCTTTGATTCAATGACAAATAGCTGCCCATTTGAAAACTCTACATTTTCATTATTCAATCAGTTCGACATTAAGACATCAGATTTAATGTCCAGTGTGGGAATTAGAAAAGTATACTTAATATCTTATTCAAATTTTGTATTGTATGCAGTTTATGTAATTTATGGCAATTCTCAAACGTAGTTTTGAAACTTGATAAAAAATTTAGCAGTTGGCCTAGCATTTTTAGGTACTGGAACGGAATACTAGCAACAACTCCATCTATTTGTCACGCTTTTTGTGACAAATCAGCATCTCTGTCTCCTGAAGACTAGCCATTGCCTAAACAGTCAACAGCTTCGAAAGAAGCATAAAGACGGTCAGGTCTAACAATCCGAAAAACGGAGTATAGTCTCGCTTTTTAAAGTGTCTGTCTCAGTTTACGAAGAGAAAATTTACGGCATGTTGTATCTATTCGAAATGAGCACGCGCCTTCGCGTCCGTTCGACCGCCCAGGTAAAAGGAAAATACGCGCCCGTGGCACGCGTTTCAAAATAGTCGTAAAATCCTCCCGTCTCTTTCGGCGTCTTTGTTTCCCTTCTGATTGTAAATATCGCCGAAACAGTTCTTCACAAAAGACATTTTGTCCTCAGCTCAGTGAGTTTGAAGCGAATCGAATTTTTCGCTAATAAATAATCATCGTTTTTTTCAACGAAAAGGAGAAAAAGAAATTGTAAGCCTACGAAGTTTATTGATGTGATTTTGATAGCAAGATAGAAACAAAGAAAAAGTGGCATAAAAAGCAACTCTAGGTCGTGAACAAAGTGCGTATACGTCAGGAGAAGTAGCCTTGCCACTGACGTCTCTCTTTTTCTCTGTATGTATGTGTACTGATGACGATTAATCAAGCCTGTGAGAGCTTCTCTTTCTCTCTTTCGGTTCGTTCATACGCGAGAGCACACGTTTTATGCGACATGCTCGTCTTCTTATATGTTCATCTGGCTCTTTACTAGCTCTGGACTGACTCTTTTGCTTTAAAGTCAATGAATTCTTCTCATTTCATATATTTAACGTTGTAATAATTATAAAAGTTTTCATTACATGAGAACCACTAAAATCATTTGTTACCTATTTCACACGAACATTAAGCAGAAAATACAAGATACTTACGAAATGCTTTCAGTACTAAAAGAACTTCTACTTTCAGTACTAAAGAATTTTTCTCATAGAACAATCATCAAAGTTATATATAGCAATCGTCACCAAAATCTCTGTGTGTAAGAAAAACTATCATCAGACACGTAACGGACAATGTGTAAATAGCAGCGGGCACAAGTTTTTGAAAAAAAAACAGTGATTGATGGCCGATCATCGTCGTTGTGTTCGAATGTTCACCAAAATAATTAATAATAATCGCGCGGACAAGACAGAGAGAGAGAGAGTGAGAGAGAGAGAGAGAGAGCGGGGGGAGGGGGGCGAAATACGAGGGGTGCGCACGTGCGTATATAACCGAGTCTAAGTACTATACTCCCGCAAAAGCCGACTCCATTAGACGGTTTGATAATCATTGAGATATGCACATTTAGCGCGTCAGACGCAAGCTTTTTATTTATTGCCTTTGTTCGATCTGATCGAGTTGCCCGCACTCAACGTGAAAGATATTTGGTAGTATAAAAAGAGATTAAGAGCTGGTGGTATGGGCTATAAAATGTACAACGTGCAGCAAGCGTCTGTGTGTCTTAATTTGGTGTGGAGAATGATGTAGGGTGATGTTTTGTCAATATTGAAATGAGAAGTCAAGTGCTCGCTCTTTTAAAAAAGATGATTGGTGATATTCAATTGTGTCAACAAGTGTGTTAATTTCCAATAAATATTGAATTATAGCAAATGTGCCTTAATTAGTCTTCAAGCTAAATTATTAAAAATTACTTTTCAAAATACTTAATGAATTTCAAACAACGGAGATATTAAATAGAATAATCCATCGAAAATAATTTACATTGAACTTTGAGAATTATTTATTGGAAGTTAATTTACTTAAACCCAGTCATCCTAAGCGTAATTTATTAACAATGTACTACTAACAGTGAGCGCGATTCAAATATAAATATCATCAGACTGTGATTTCCAATTATCATGGATCAATCGAGATGGAAAAAAAGAAAAAAGTCAATATATTACGGCATATAGTTAAAAAGGAGAAAAAAGCGCAAAAACTATATATATATAAGCCCGGCCCACACGGGAATCAGGTCCTATCTAATATGAAAAATCTGTCTGTATACATATACACGCAGTGAACACATGGTCTTGCCCCCGTAGTTGCGTGCACCCATTGTTCGCATCAGATATATAGGTGGTGCGAATTCAATATGGGCAGCTCTCTGTCAATAGCGTTAATAGTGGGAGGGGGGTACGCATGCTGCATATACGCACATCGGGGGTGGTGGCGGCGATCCCGACAGCTGATTCCGTGCTTTTCTCTCTTTCTCCCTCTCTCTACGTTTGTCGTAAACTATAGTTGGAGTTTGCGTAGCTCCCCCCTCCCCTGTCTCGACGCCTACTATTCGGTGCAATAAACGACAGTGAAAGTTTCTAGCCAGGGCCCAATTGGCACGCGTGGCAGCCAAGCTTACCCTCGGCTATGGACCCAGGGGCTCCAAGAGACGTCACGGGATCACAAATCATTTCGGCTTCATTGTGCGTTCGAAGTGGTGCGCGTTCGCTCGCTAGCTCGCTGGCTCTCTCTCACTTCAGCCTCTGCTGACACTTTCTTTCCCGTTCAGAAGCGAGTCACCATTCAACCTGGTCACCTCGCTTCAACGGTTTTGAGTTATCAGATTCTTGCTGGCCCAGTTTATACCGATAGAGTTCGCTGCGACAGCTCCACTGTCTTCGCATCTCGCGATCGAGTGTTGAAAAAGCAAGTGCCATTGTAATAATTAGTGCTAATCGTTACAGTTCTAGTGAACAACAGCATGACGTCTTCATCCTACTCTAATGTCGACTGGCAGAATAGACCTAGTTGTTCCTATGTACCGGATACGTTGTATCAGTCATGTTGCACGCAGTGGTTGGCAGACATTAATTCGGTGACATCATTGGCATCTCAGGCTTCAAATTACGTCGCTACATGCAACAACCAACATCAACCGAGCTCTACGTCTACGACTTCCAGTCCGATTCTGGAAACTTTGCTTTTACACGGGAAAGATGCCGTGGCCGAGCATTATATGCCAAATCCAACATTGATTGTTAGGTCTCCCGCTTGTTCGCCACGTTCAACGCCGCCGTGTACCCCATCACCGGTATGTACATCCGATCGTACATCGCCAATGACTGCAACTATAGATGAGGTTGCTAGGGCGTATTTCAACCACGCGGCAAAAAATTACGTCGAAAATTACGCGCAGGCGCAGCAGAGCGTTGCTCTCGGAAGTGCTGTTCCTACGTATGTGCCCACCTCACCCCTCAGTGCTGCTACCCCCCATGAGGCTATGGGTGTAATGGCTACTGCTTATTACGACGGCTTACGCGGAAATAATACGGAGAACGATGCACAGAATGGCAGTGTGTACGACCACGATGAGACGACTACCAATTCGCTGAATGTTCATGGGATTTGTGGTATGAACATTTTTTGAAATTTTCAAAAATCTATTTATCTATTTATTAAATATCTATTTATTATTGCATATGGAAACATTTAGTATTTTTTTCTCAACCATATGTTGCAAAATTTAAATAAACATAATAAAATATAATTAAACACAAATTTTTTAATATAATTTAAATAATTATTTTTCTTAATATATTCAAATAACAATCTCAATTTAATTTTTTCATGTCTTGATTTCAGCAACCATAAATACATTAGCTGCAAGAGCAAACCTTATGCAACAAGCAAACCAGCGTCAGCAGACGCTCGAACCACAGTCACAGACTGACACAATTTCTTATGTTAACGGTGCATCTGTTAATAATAATCAGACGCACAATGTTGGTGGTATGAAAATGTTTTTAAATTATTTACAATGTTTTAGTTACTACTATATACGAAAATATGTAGTCATTTTTTCCTCCAATTAAACGCTGCAAAATTGAAATAAACATAACAAAACATGATTAAAAGCAAATTTTTTAATATAATTTAAATAACAATTTTTCCTAATGTATTTCAATAACAATACCATGTTTATTTTTTATTTATCTTGATTTCAGCTATCACAAATACATCAGTAGCAAGATCAAACTGTACGCAAATGCTCGAACCACAGCCACAGGATGCTGCAGTTTCTTATTATAACGGCGCATCTGCCAATAATAATCAGACGAATACTATCAGAGGTTTAAAAAAATTTTTTTATTTTAATATCTTTTATTTACTACTATATACAAAAAAATTTATTATTTTTTCCTTCGATTATATGCTACAAAATTTAAATAAACGTAATAAAACACGATTAAACATAAATTTTTATTATAATGAAAAAAAAATTTGTTAAATTAATATGTTAATTAATTATTAATGCATTTAAATAACGATCGTAAATTGATGTTTTCTTTGTCTTGGTTTAAACAGCCAAAGGAAACTCAGCTGCAGTACCAAAGCGCACGAGACAGACCTACACGCGTCAGCAGACGCTCGAGTTAGAAATGGAGTTTGGCGTAAATAGCTACTTGACGCGCTCGCGGCGCAACGAAATCGCTACACTATTAGGTTTGTTGGATCGCCAGGTAAAGATCTGGTTTCAAAATCGACGCATGAAAGCCAAAAAGGAGGGCAGACGGTTCCACCCGGCGAGGCGAACCGCGACCATACCGACCGAGTCAACGCGGGTTACAAACGAGCACGCAACCGAACTTACACCACAAATGAGTGCCCAGAGTAATCTTGTACCAAGTAATCAACCGGAACAGATTGCCAATCAGTTTCAAGGCTCGATGCTTAACAATGGCTTGAGTCATTATCAGTCTGTCACACCAACCTTGAGGATGCCTTATACCACTCATCCTGACACTCAAACACAGCATCCTTCCTATCAGCAGCAGTATCAGCTGTCAAGTGTCTACACGAATCCTAGTAACAGTTTTCAACAGAATTACTCGCAGTACCATCAGGTAACTTCGAACTTGTAGCTGTATGGTGTCTCGTGAGGACGCGGACAATTCGAGTGTTACTGCTGACCTTGATACGTATCTCATCGTTTAGAATAGGATACCTTCCGTGGTAAGGCCTCATATTAGATATATTACCTATGCGGATGCGCCTCAGTTCACAACAGGCTTTCCTTTTTTGATTGTCTGCCAGTATCGTTTTTATAAGGCTCTAAGTGGATAGTTTGTTAGACACCGACGATTTTCGCGGAGGTCATTTCGAGGGAAAATATTTTGATCTGAGTTGTTAATGATATTAATTGGGTGGAGCATGACCGTTTTTGTAAATTGAGTGATGAGAGCTGTGGAAAGTGACTTTGTAAAATGTTATATATCATTATATTTCTATTTTTCAATACTTTTTAGTTCACCGTAACGTTATTTAAATGATACCGCCTTAATTTATTTGAATTAAAGTGATGATAAATTTATTTTTATGCACAAATGATCAATTTTTATTTCTTTTCGTAAAAAATGAAACAACCGAAATGTGTTATTATAAATAGCTTAATTTTTAGTTTAAATAATATAAAACGTTTATAATTGGATTAAATAAACAATTATTAGCTGGTAATAGTCAAACAAAAGGTCACAGCCTCTATCACACGAGTACCTCTCGTAAAAGTTAGCTCTCGTTTCCGGAGATGGGAAAGAACCGTCTTGTATAGGGCGGTTAAACGTTATATAGGGTCGGGAAGCGATACACATAGACACAAAGTTAGGGTCAAGCACGGCTGGCGTGCAGCTGCTTGCTTTCTACCGTCGAAAAGAAGATGGCCGTGTGCAGCAAACACGCGAGGTGTGCTATTTTTTTTAAAGACATTTCTTTTCGCAAAATATTTACGGAATAATTTATTATTTTTCATTGAAGTTACAAGCGTAATTAAAAAATGTAATTATTTTTATTAACGACAAATTGACAAGGGTAACAAGACTTTTTTTTATATTAGTGTGATCTTTAGTAAGGTTATATAGTACATGAAGTTTGTAAGTAGTGCAGGAGAGAGCGAGACTGTACACATGTGAAGCATGTCTTAACGGCTTAATTTTGAAGAAAAAAAAATTTCAACGACAAAGTGTACTAGGCAGCGGTAGCAATTGACTGATTGACAAATGTTATTCCTTTTGAAATCATCCGTGGAGAGAGGTCCTTGCACGATTATTAATGTTAGCGCGCCAAGCTCGAGATAATGTAAGCGGCGAAGAAATCATTCGCTAGATGATTTAAGAGACTTTGCCATGATAAGACAAGGAAGTGAAAGTTCGTCGACAGAACTGTGCACACGCGTATCCTCCGCTTACGTATTTGCCGGTATCTTTGATGTTTCACTGAGGCCGCGAAACTTTATACCAGTATTTTTCGATACCGCTGTTGCACAAGCAAGATTTGGTTAAAAAAAAATGAAACCTATTTATTTTTTGTAAAAAGGTAAATGATAGTTTTATTAAATCTAATTATTGAGATATTTTCTATGAAAATCCAAATCTTTAAAATTCAAAGTCCTGGGTAACTCAATGGATAGAACATCGGTCTTCCATGCGGGGAGGGCTGGGTTTCTATTCTCTGGCCTGGTACACGAGAATTTTTTCGGAAGAAATTCTTCCGGAAAAGTTATCATGTTCTTGAATACGAGTAACCTAGGTGCTGGCTATTGTTCTTGGTATAGATTTTTCCCGCGTAAATGATTTTCCTGTATGTTACAAAGTGTAAATAGGAGAACAGTTTTAGAAATAAAACAAATCATAACACGGTAAACCCATGTGTTTAAATTTAAACGTTTAATATGACGTCACCCATAAAAAATACATTGTCCTCAATTTGAAACACTTCTAAATGTTTAAATTCAGCGACAATGTATTTCTTATGGGTGACGTCACAATTACACACTTGAAACGTTTAAATTTAAACACATAGGATTTTAAGGTTTTGCCGTGTAATAGCTTTGATGACGTACTTAGAGACATATTTCTATTTTTTAATCGAAGTATATAATTCTAAATATTATAAATATTATAATACATTATTATTATTATAAGTGTTATTCATAATACTATTTCGTAACTTAGAAAAACGACTATTATTTAATTATTTATGATCCCTGCAATATTTTTGAAACATCTCAAAAATGACTAGTCTGTATATAAAACATTGTATAAATCATTACGTTATAATAAATAAATACTTATAAATCATAATTATTTATTCATCTACCAATTTTAATTTTATTCTTAATAGTGATATTATTATAAAAGACTTATATTTATCCTATTAAATCAAGTATAGGGTGCTGGTCAAGCACCGTGAGCTTTTGAAGTGTGAATATAGATAATTTTAATATAGTTCAAAATTGCTATTAATAATTGATACATTGACAATTATACTGAACTTTGCTTGTTAATAATTTATTTAGATAGTCAAAATGAATTAGCAAATATATATAAATTCAAGTCAAGAATTATTGAATGTAACATCTTTTATTTTAATTTTTGCTACATTTACCAATGATCAGCTTGTAATACCGTAAAAAAGTAGTCTGCTGATAATAGAAAGTTATAAAGTACAACTCAATTATCATAGTTACCGATATTTATACATGCTCATATATTTATTTAACGATGTTATAGGTAAACGATATTGTATTATTTACTCAAATGATAGATCTGTTAAAAAATATTCGTGTGATTATGAAAATAAATCATCTATTTCAACAAGTCATATTCCACTATTCTGATTTCAAAATTACTTGCTAAAATAATAAAATACACATTTGTATAAAAATAATTACTCTTAAGAATATCAAAAATATAAAAACTGTATTTTGAAAAAAAAATTTTGTAAAATAAAAATCTGATGTAACATCTGAAATTAATTAAATAACTAGCAAATATAGAGGTTGGATGCCAGGAAAAATGCCAGACAAACTATCCCCAGCAGTAAACTCGAAAAACTATCACACAAAGATGCAGAGCAAACGAGGTGTGTGCTTGTCTCTGGTGTGGAGGGGAATCCCCCGCGGCGTACACGCAAGGACGGGCGATCGAGGAGGAGACGATGGTGGAGGGGCTCCCACATCGACTGGATGCGGATGTACAAGGGGTGGGGATAACGTTTCGAAGCAGTGGGGCTGCCAGGAGGCGGACGCGAGTTTCAATTCTGTAGAGAAGTGCCACACTCGCTACATCTGGCGGCAGATTGCTACACTATCGCTAACTTCTGTTGAATGATTTTCGAGGGATCATCGTGGGCACTTCTATTATTTGATTACGCAAAGTCTGCAATTCAGAGAGTTCACTTTGATATTGATGATGGCAACATCTAAATTTACTACTTTAAACCTGAAGAAAAATACATTGCTGAGTTCGCTCTCTTGGTTTTTTTGCAAGTTATTTCAAAACGTTTATTTTTTTGAAAAATAAACTTTTCAATAATACCCACGCAAATTACAAAAAAAGAATTTTCAACGTCTTGGGTAATATTTGATTATATTGGGTGTCCGAATGTGTGATTTGTAAAATGATTATTGGACGTTCATTAGAGTGATTTCATTAGAAGAAAACAGTAGAGCACAAACAAAATATAACGAACGCTGAAGTAAAAATAAAATCAGCAGAAGCTCATAGCTGAGATGAGAAGCTCAAGTACAAAGTCTATTTATGATTTGTTATTTTACTTGTCGTTCTAGCAGAGCAACTTTGCCAAGTTCAAAGGATTAGAGCTTGTGAGAAAGAACAGCGAAGAGAGACAGAATGAGAGAGCGCATAAGAGCTCCGCCTCCAACGGCTGACCTCCTCCTGCCCCCTCCGCTCTCCTCTCACTTCTCACTTTATCCCCTTTTTCACTTGACTCTACGATAGCCTCAAGCTACCCGTACTCTACATTCCACACAAATACGCAATCGACGAAGAGAAGTCCAAAAAGCTTTCAACGTGGTAACGCAGAAAAAATATCAAACAGCAGCCTTTTTTCCGATTTTTTTCGCGCTCCTGGGCAACAGGTTTGAATTTATGGGCCGATACACAAAGAGTGCAAGTATAAGCAAAAGCCCTCTGCAACCTGCTCGCACAGAGGAGGAGCGCGCACGCAGGCTGTTTAGGGAGCAAAAGAAAAGGAGAACACAGAGCAGAGAGCGCGGCTATCAAACTCTCATAAAACTGTCAGCCAGGAGAGCTCCAACTTGACTTATGCGCTTTCGGGCCCCTCTCTCTTGTCTCGCTCTCGCACAGTGTACATATACGCGCGCGCGTGTTCGCCAACACATTGTCTCGCACACACGCGCGCGCGCGCAGAGCTCCTCTGACACGTAGCTCGTGCGAAATCACAACGAAGAGAGATGCCGCGTAGGTGGGCGCCCTCTCTGCAAACTCGATAATCGCCGTCCTAATGTCCTGCGGCTTCCGTCGGCGATTATTGCAGCCGTCCGCTCGCGCGCGCGCGCGCCTCTGCAAAAGTGAAATTGTGCAAGTGACCAGGAGATTGTGTAATCGAGGACGGGACGACGGCAATGCTCGCGCCAAGATTAGAGGCTCGCAAGCTTCTCGATGGCTTCACGTGCAGCCTGCTCATTTTTGCTTCTCGCTTACGCCTTGTAATAACTTTTTCAGGTGCATTTTTATGCCATTTTTTCATTACGATTGCGCGTACTAGCGTACTACTGAATTTCGTCGTTGACATTTTTTATCAGGAGGAAAAAATATTTAGAATGTGAACCTCTCCAAACGATCGAAAAAAGAATGGTTCTCGACAAGAATAAAAGCTCGATCATGGCATTGGATATGTAAAGAAGCGTGTGATTTGACGGACAGCAAGTTGTCGAATGAGGTCTCGCGCATGCATCGTCGATGGTCTCGGCCTCTCTCGACACATACATATCCCCACTCTTCGAAAACGTACACACGCATAAGTCTGGAAAAGTCTTGGGAGCTGCAGCGAGCTTCCCAAATATCTCTCCATTAGCCCCCCTGGCGATAGTCTCCCTCTCTATGATTCTGCGGGCGTATGAAGAAGAACGGGGTTGAAGAATCCTCGTGAGCGCGAGCGAGAAAGAGAGCGAGAAAGAGAGCGAGAGAGGCCAATCAAGGTTTGACGAACGACGGGGATTGGCCGAGCGAGAGCGTTCGGCTGACACGCCAGCCGGCGGCACGTGACAGCTACCGAGCGCCAGAGAGCGCGCTTACGTCGCGGCTGCCTGCCTGCCTGCCTGCCTGCCTTGCTCTGCTGCTCGCTTGAGCCGCCCGATCCGCGAGCAGCCGAGCTCTCTGCTCTCTCTCGCTCAGTACGATACCACCGCCTTCCGCGCGCACATCGACAGCACAGACGACCGTCGAGCCCGCGAGGCTATCAGCACGCATCAAAAGCTCTCGCGTCTCTCGTGCGATTGTGCACCTGTGCCGACTCTTAAACATTATTTTTTGTTGCTTTGGTGATTCGCCAAGTTGATTAAAAGATTTTATCGATGCATCGAATAAAAAAATCGACAGTTCTTTTTCTTCGCTTTCGATAAAGACAGTTTGTTATTTGTGCAATTTATAAAATCACGTGTGACGAAGAAGGAAAGGAAGAAGGGTTGCGTTCGCCGGAAGGAGGGAGGAGTATAGTCTGTGGACTGGTAGCTGGTGAATGGGGAGAGAGAGAAGAGTGGGCCGTGAGTTTTGCTCTCCCTCCCTCTTATAAAGCTCTATAATTGCGAGAGCTGTTGTAGGCGCTTGCTGCGCGAAGGAGCCTCGCAAGGACGAACAAGCGGAAGACAGTTTCGCAGGCCCACGTGGTGGTATTCTCGTTCCTCGCATTATCATCGTCATCGGCAGCACACTTGACGATAGCTCTGCCTCGCGCAGTCGATGCGCGACTTTATCCGCGTGTGAACGTCGTCTTGTGTACGCGTGAATTATGCCGATCTCGTGGTGGTCGGTCGAGGACACTGCGTCACGATGACGCGCTTCCGCGCTACCACGTGAAACGCAACAAAATCAGACGCGACTCCCGCCAACAAAATTCACGATCGTTGAATTTTGTTTGTTGATTACTTCCGTTGCATACTGTCGCGCGATACAAAGCCGCCAAAGTGTCGTTCCCAACGAATTCGCACCACCAACGCAACGAGTGCAGCATGAGTTCCTACCAATTCGTCAACTCGCTTGCCTCGTGTTACGCAAGTGCCCAGGCCCAGCAACAACAAGGTCCTCGTGGCACTGCCAATTCGCCCGCTGAACCAATGCAAGCGGCTTCACCAGCTGGCACGGACTATTACAATCCCAATGCCGCGAGCACAGGCTATCCAACGCCATGTTACTCGCCGCAGCAGCATTATCCTCAACATCCTTACGCCGCTCCGGCGGCATCGAGCATGCAGCACTCCGCGCCAACGGGTATGATTGATTACACGCAACTTCAACCACAGCCGAGACCTCAGCCACAGCATGGTTTACATCAGCCGAGCCAACATCATCATCTTCAGCAGCAACAGCAGCAGTTGCACGCGGATCCGACGAGTCCATTGCTTCAGGCTGCCGCTGCGGTGGCTGCGGCGGCAGCGGCAGCTTCTGGACCGTCTACTTCGAGTTGCAAGTATGCGGATTCAACGAGTTCTTCGACGAACGTGTCGTCGCCTCAAGACTTGACCACCTCGACTAACGCAAGGAATAGTCCTGCGCCTGGTTTGGCTGCACCTGGCACTAGCAAAGCTGGTAGCAGTGGACAAATCAACTCCACACCTGGTGGGTCGTCCAGGTCGTCTGTTGCTGCCTCGGCTTCGTCACCACCAAGTGGAAGTGGACGGCAAGCTGAAGGCAACGCGACGTTGACGACAGCTTCGTCGGCTTCTTCCCCAGCGTCCTCCACTAGTAGCACAAGTAGTACTGGCAATAATTCATCGAACAAAGGCAATAATTCTGGAGTTAACCCGCCGCAGATCTTTCCTTGGATGAAGAGGGTTCATATTGGTCAAAGTGAGTAAAGATTATAATAATTATCTTATATTTTAAGATATTCTTCAAAGCATTTCGATCACGAGTTATTCATATTTAAATGTATTCTTTTTTCAAAACGAAAGGTAAATGATGCATTTCATTGCTATGAATATTTAGAGCAAACATTGTTTCAAAAAAGTGTTTCAAAGTACAATACAATACAAATCAAATTATCTTTCTATTTGATTATTTTTTTTATTATTACCATTGTTATTATTATTATTGATGATAATAATATGTAGAAATATTCAGTTTCTTTGCTATTTAAAAATATGACTGAACGTTAAAATGAATGTTTAAGTAATCAATGTACGGATAACAAACTCAAGGCCCTCCATTCACTACAAAATTTACACTATTTGAAAATTTCTTGCAGTTCTTTTCATAAATTATTTTAAATTGTTAAACTGTCTGTCGCTAATATATCATCATTATCAGTTAAACTCGCATAACCAAAAATAAATATGTTTGAGATAAAGTAGATTAATAGGTTTACAATGCTTTTTATTATAAATATACAACAACCACAACTACTAAACTAGACAAAATTTCCAGTAAAAAATATAAATTCTATCTTGAACATATTGCGCACTCCAAAATTATAATTTTCTACTTGTTAAATTCAGAAAATGTCTTAAAAGATAAAAGGCTTATTTAGCTGAAAGAAACACCACCCAATCGCTTAAGAGTCCCACAAATCAAATTCTTTTGCATGTGATACGCCAACATGGCATCGTAAAGAAACAAAACCGAGTCGCGCAGAAAGAAAGCAAACGCAATGAGCAGCCCATTAGCCGATCCCCTAATAGTCATTCCACCAGTAGTCATCGTCGTCGTCGCCATCCTCCTCCCAAGGGTCGAAGACTAGAGAGAGAGAGAGAGAGAGAGAAAGATAAAGAGTGCGCTCTCGAAGGATGCAAAAAAAAATGAATCGAAATACCAGCCTAAGCTAAGTTTCTCGGTGGGTCCATGTGTGGTCGAGAAGTAGGGGCATAGCACAAAGAAAAGGAAGTAGTAGATGCGGCATGATGCACATGTTCTCTCAGAGAACGTCGGCTCTCTCGCAGATATTTTTTTCCGCACTCTCGTTCGAGATAAAGTCCGTTTCATCTGCCGGCGTTCGTCACACGTCATTGCCCGTTATTTATACAAAGCGCCGCTCTACTCGCAAAAGTGGCCTACATGTAGTACAAAAAGTACAAATCATGAAAATAAAATGTTTTCTTTTTTTTTCTGGAAACCAACGAAAATTAGCAAGCAGACGAGTATCTCTCTCATACTTTTTCTCGGATAAATCACCAAGCCAAGCGTCTTTTTTCCGCCTATAAATATCACTGATTAATGGCTGTTTTCGAATATCAACGGCGAGGCGCGAGCGTTCGATGCGTCGGACCCACAATACGCGCGCGCAAACTCGGCGATCGGATGGTGTATAAGAGCGAAGATGTTTTCTGTGGTTTATAAGTTTCTTTTCTTTTCCATTTGCTGTATCTGTATATGTGTGCGTGCGTGTGTGAGTGGGTGAAAAATATCAATTGCGAGATGACTGATTGGTGTTTTGAGATGTCTCAGGAGTGGTCGCTGTTGTTTCAATGTTCTTACGCGAGTTCCTTCATTGAAATATCTCCTACAATGAAAAATCTACGTATTTCAAGCTCTTGTTACACAACAAATCATAAAAGTTGATTTAAAACACCCATTTAAAAGAACAAAATTATAAAGAACATTTACATTACCATGATAAACTCACGCAATATTATGAACGTTTGAAAGAGAAACTCATCGCATTCCTAGCCTACATTCACAATCGTTATTCAATTAAAAAGAAAAGAAGGAAGAATTTTTACACGGTGATTGCAATAGTGATGCGAGCGCGATACATGTAGTGAATTCAGTCAAACGGTAAATTGCAGTATTTATGATGATTCGCGGTAAGCGAGAGTTTAACAAATGGATCGCGCGTATATAGGTGTCGAACGTGCAATGCGCATAGATCATCGATATACTAAATTATATAGACGAATTTATTGTTCCCGACGATCAATTCTCGCGGGGCCGTCACATTACGATTCAAAGTCAATCGTTCAAACACTCATTAGATGGCCCGCGCGCAGCGTAAGAAAGCAAAAATAAAGTGAAGCGAACGCCATAAATCACTTTCTCGAACTGATCCATCAGTCCCGTGCATACAGGCAGAGCAGAAATTCTTCGATTCGCGATGATCTGCACCTGCCTTGTTGATAAGCTTTACGTATTAGTGATTTACCGCGAGCGTGTATGCAGCCAGCATGATTCAGTCAGCGGGGAATTTGACGAAGAATTAATGGCGTTATGATATTGTCCGTGTGAGCGTGTGTCGGACTATAAATCAGACTGTGTGCATTGTCAAGCTACGGGGGCCTGAACTGCTTCAAGCATATTCACTTCTTCTTCCTTCATAGCTGCTGCGGGTTCATACCGCTTCTGATTTTCTATAAAAAAGGGGGGGGGGGCTCCTCGCGCAATTTTACACTTGTGGAGCATTCGCTGAGATGCCTACACTACCGATCGCTTCTCGGCGAAATATTTGAATTGAGATAACCAGTCGTGCTCCTGTATCTGAAAATTTACGATGTCGAATGAGAGATCTTCATTCAATCTGAATATTCTTGGAGATACGATTTTGTCAGCTATATTAATTTTTCGATGCACGAGCAACATCCAAATGCTTATGTAAACGTCGTTCAATGCAAGTCAGCGGCGTCTATTATAGTCCTTTCATTGAAAAAATGGAAAATGTTTCTCAATTTAAATTTAAATTTAGAAAAATCTTGCCATTAATTTTACTAACATTTTTGACAAGTATACGGAAGTCTGATGTGTCTGTTCGCTCAGTAAGAGTTTCCATGTGTTGATTTTTCTTCATGAAACATGAAAATCGCACGAAAGAGAGCTCACCACGTACGAAAATCTAATCTATTCAGCAGTTCGTTAGACTGCTCCTGACTGCACATTCCACTTCATTCATGTTCGCGCAGAGTACAGATAAGAATAAAAAAAGTGTCATAACTTTCAGAGCAGCCGAGCATATAAAGTCATTATATTCACAATGTTCTAGCAAAAAACGTAGCGAAAAGAAAAAAGAAGGTGCACAATTAACTATGACCGCGGTCACAGAGTGTAGATAGATAGATAGAGAGAGTGGGAGCGAAAGAGAGAGAGAGAGAGAGAGAGAGAGTTGAGCTCAACAGCTCAATTATATTGGTCATTATACGGGTAATCACGCAATTACGCACATAATCACGGCAACACACGCTTGCTCCGATAGAGCAAAACTCGTGCACACGAAGCTCAACAGAAAAAAAGAACGAGGAATCGAGAAAATAGAGCCTCTCGCACGAGTTAAGAAAAAAAATATCGATCAGAATTCTAAAAGCTTCTATAATACGAAGACGTCGACGAATGAATTATCGACTTTTCCGGGGCAACTGATATGATTGTGCACTTGTCTCTCTTTTCTTCTTATTAATTAGGCGGATCTCTTTCGCAGTGAAATAAAAAGGAAGATGTTTATTTACGAATCTTAAGTCAACGTACTCGCGAGAGTGATAAGACAAGAACTACTTGAGCAAATCGTTATGGCATTTCATAGCTGGTCGAGCGTGCGAGGGAGATTAGAACAAATAAATCGGAAACGCGCACGCGACCGATCTCTCAACCGAACGCTTCACGAGAATAGTTTCGTTTAAGAATGTCGAGGAATCTTTTTCTTCGCTCATCTCGGCCAGCAAAGCTTCTATTTATAGCGGGAAAGAGAAAACCAACGAGAACGCTGAATGTATGTGCGCGTGTGTGTATGTATGTGTGTATAAATCAGTATCGCCTGTTGTTATGGCAATCGCGCCAAGAGGAAAAGGGTTGAGAGGCCAGTTTGTAGAGAGATTGAGACGAGAGAGTTTTTGGAAAAAAGGAAAGGCTAATTTTCCATTTGTTTATGGCCGAACGGATTTGCGCTTTTCCGTTTATTGATTCGTTTCGTATGATTATTATCGATTCGCGTTTATATCGTTCCTTTATAATGATTCGTATGTATGTATGAGCTGTCAGATTATTGTTTAGAGAATCGTCTTGCAAATTTATTAGTCTTACGATTTTTCGGAGTATTATCGAAGTATGAATCACTTAACATTTAAACTGAATGAAAATTTTGTAAGATGGTCATAGCAATTTTTATCTTTAACATGGCCATGTTGTAAGAAATTATATCTTGGATTATCGCATATTTTTGCTTAACCATTGACTTTTATGAAAGCTACAATTTGTCGGTCCTCACGAGCGTTTTTAACGAAATAATTGAAAATTAAATTTTTCGACGATCGCCGTGAAAATAACTATCTTGAAGAAATCCACTCTTCAAATATAATGGCCCTCATATCCGCACATATCAATAAACCGAACAAATGTTCTCATTCTTAGTCCTGATTGCCGTAAATCAGTATTTACTTTTACGCGAGCATGATTATCCCTTCACCCTCGTATGAAAAAAAAAAGTTCAATCGCAAGAGTCGAAAATCCCGTGCTTTAAATATAATTTTCGAGAAAGAGAGAAATATACGCGTCCCGTCGCTTGGTTGTCGATTCGCTCACGCACACAAAATAATTCCGTCTCGAAAAGGCGAACTTGGAGTAGCGATATAATTGCGTAATTGCTGCGAAGAGAGAAAGAGAGAGAGAGAGAACGACCAAATAAATAGGGAGGAGGTCGATTTTCGAGAGCCGCCTCACGAAGTGTATACGGAGAGGGGATAGGCCGCATCTCACGGAAGGTGGAAGGCATAATTACAGCCCGATCGTTTCGCCATAAATAAAAGTCCAGGGAGAGTCACGAAAAAGGGAGCCTGCAGACGTATTCCCAAGACGCAAGGTCGAGAGAGAGAGAGAGAGAGAGAGGAAAATCGCGCCATGTGACACGACTATGTGGGCACACATGTGCAATTTTT